ATATATACTTATGTAATATATAAATCATGGCAATATTCGTTTCTTTATCATCTCACTAGTACTTACTGTTTATGTTACATATATGCTTCATTTATATTCAGACGATTCTTCCAGCTCTTCTGCCTGAGAATTAGAAGTTATTTATGTAATATCCAAGGATAGAAAAGATACAACCAGATTGTATCTCTGACTTAAAAACAGTTGTGTTTGAGAGTTTTATGCACAAGGTTTGTTTGTGATTTAATTTTTATTTTCATTTAACTTTTTTTGTTTTCAATCACAATTGTATTGCTGTCATTTCAGAAAAGTGGATAAGCTGTGCCTTTTAGCAACTGACTAATTTCTTGATTTTTTCTGTTATCCTTATGTCTTCTCACTTTAACCATACTTTCATTGGAGTAACTTCTTTAAGTATTTTCTATGAAAAAAAAAAATCTTCAAACAGTGCCTGCTGCAAAAAGAATGCAATCTAGATTCTTCATGCAACTTAGGCTATAAGGCCTTCCACAGCTGATTACCAATTACCTACTGGGCAAGGATGGTTACTGTTGTGGATTCTGTAGTGTACTACACAGGTCCCTTGTCAGGACTGAGGCTGTCATTCCCCCAGCTGCTAGGATTATTGATAGCTGATGGTTCACAGCTGAATTCTTCTCTGATAACTACCCTCAACTGAAGACAGCCTCTTCACCCACGGTCACACATCCTTCTCAGGGGCAGCCTGTATCTACTGACTGGTAGATGTAGGCTATAAAGGCCCTGTCCTCTAGCTTCAAGGAAGGACAACTCTGCAGGGCCATCTCAGCTGCAGAGCTCTCCACAGAACCGTCAGGTCCTTGGTTGTAACTGCATCACTGTTAATCTCCTAGCTCTACCCAGGTACTTCCTGCACTTTCCCACAGGTGCTGATTGCAAGGACACTCTTGGCTTATTTCCTGTGTGCAAATCTCTGTTTCAGAATCTGTTTCCTAGAAACATAACCTCAGATTATGGCTTCATGGGAGAGTGAAGAGTGATCACAGTTTGATGATAGAGTTTGACATAAACCACTAAATGAAGTGCATTGTATTCATTGTCATAGGAGAATCATCATACAATCCTATGGGACTGGAGGAAGTGACTTCTTTTGCTTGGAGTATAACAGATGGAGAATTAGGAAAGATTTTTCAGAAGAGGGGATGTTTGAGCTTCACTTTGAAGAAGGAGTAGGCATTCTCTAGGCAAGGTAGGATGTGAGGTAGTCTGGGCTTGTGAAAGAACATCACTTATTAAAGATGTGGTAGCAAGCTCAGTGTGGCCACTGGAAGGTGGGGTCCTGGGGGGAGAGCAGTGGAGCCGGATCAGGAGCCAGGTCATGAAGGACTCTACTGATTTTGAAGGTTCTTAAGCTGCAGTGTGCTCTTCCCTCCTAACCATCTACCAAACACGTGATTTGAATAGACATGCTTAGAATTATCCCTTCTCATTTGCTTGAAGACTTGGTCTTCAAAACTATTTTATTTATTAACCATTTCACTTTAACCTACTTCAGAAAATCATAACAAAGACTGCATCTTCTTGTCTGTCTTTGAAATAACCATCTATAAGACACAAAGATCTCCCTCTATGGTGCTTGAAATTCTCCCATTAGTGATTTCTGGAATTCAGAAGAGCCCTGCAGAGTTGCCCTTCCTTGAAACTAGAGGACAGGGCCTTTATAGCCTACATCTACCAGTCAGTAGATACAGGCTGCCCCTGAGAAGGAGGTGTGACCGTGGGTGAAGAGGTTCTCTTCAGTTGAGGGTAGTTATCAGAGAAGAATTCAGCTGTGAACCATCAGCTGTCAATAATCCTAGCAGCTGGGGGAATGACAGCCTCAGTCCTGACAAGAAGACATAGTAAAGGTAATAGAGTCAAGGTTTTTAACAGATAAACCCCCCTTTCAAACCTCTGATAAGGGGTTATCCAGTTGTTTCTAGTATACCTTTGGTAATGGAAAGATTCACCTTTTCCTGAGGTTGTTCATGCTGATATATCACACAGTAATAAAATTGCAGAGTTTGAATTAATCATCATTTTATAGATTAGAACACTGGGGAATAGCAAGAAGAAATTACTTGCCCAAGGTCATACAGTAGATAACACCAAAGCCAGAAGAACACTACATATTCTTCATCTAGCAACTGTCCCTTTCTATGGCCACATAATGAATTCGTCAGATCCCTCTCTGAATTATTGGGAGTCAGAAAACAGTTCCACCTCTGGCACTCATGTGCTCCGTGACTCAGGTCCAATCAGTTACTTCTCCAGGTCTGTTTGCTCACGTGTGCACTGAGAGCCTGGACTGGAGGAACTTTCAGCGCCTTCCTCCCTGACAGTTTGAGAGTTTCTCTCCTTTCTCTAGGAGAAGAGATGTCTAGGGGGACTAGTGGGCCACCTGTAGACTGAAAGGAGAGGAACACAATAAAAAGAGCTGTCTAGTGAAGGTTAACGTGTCCTCTTCCATCTCTAGCCAGCCCAAGTTGCCAGTCAACTGCATACTAGTGGGCCACCTGTAGACTGAAAGGAGAGGAACACAATAAAAAGAGCTGGCTAGTGAAGGTTAACGTGTCCTCTTCCATCTCTAGCCAGCCCAAGTTGCCAGTCAACTGCATTCTTGCAACCTTTATTTTCCGATTTGGGGCATTTTGTAATAGACTCATTTAAGGTATATTATACCCCTTTTCCCTTTATAGCAGAAATGTTCAGAGTGCCTGTCCTTTGAATAGAACTTTCATAGACCATAAAATCTTACCTGGGAAACAGACTAAACCTTATATGTTGCTGCTGGTTTTGAGTAAACGAGCTGAATCTGGCAGCCAAGCCTCACTGCAAACAAATACATTTTCTGGTCAAGCATCTTCTGGCTTGTTCAACTCCATTACAGGGCTGGTTTAAAAAAAAAAAAAAAAAAAGCTAAAGCCACAGAGGAGCAAACCACAAACACTACAAAGACAATTTCCAACCACGTTAGCTCATATTGTCAGAATAGAAAAGCAGCAGCGCCCATTCTCCAGGCCATTGTCATTTCTAGACTCTCATCCTGTACTCTTCTGCTGTTTCAATTTCACCACTTCAAAATGGGGAAAACAGTAAGTTAATAGTTTCCATGAGTGTAGACTGTGACCAGAGGCATACTAAGCAATTTCAGGACCTCAGGCAACCACAGTTCAGAAGAGATGATGATGATGGATTTACCAATTCATCTTGGGGCAGATTCCAGGGTCAGGGGAATCCGGCCAGCACTGTGCTGCCAGGGTGGGATGAAGACCATATTCCTCCATGCATTCTTTTTGCACATGTCCATTTCTGGCTTCCTTTTGTTTCAGGCAGTATACTGTTTACACTGTGGGACAGAGAAATAAACTTTTAAGATGTAGTCTCTGCCATTAAAGAAACTACAGTCTAGTATAGGAAACAGACATATGCACAAATAATTTTACTAAAGTGTATACTGTAAGTGCTGTAAGCAATGTAAACAAAGTCTTCAGCAAGGGGAAAGAGAGAAGCAATTCATTCCAACTGGGGCCATCAAGGAAGGCTTCACTAGGGAGCTGCCTTCTGACCTGACTCTGAAAATTGCAATATGTTGAGGCATTAACTGAGGCAGAAAAGTAGGGAAGTTTTTCATAGGTTTGAATAAGATGAGCAATCTGGGATGTTCTGTGAAGCTGAGCCTAGAAAGGGAGATTGAATAGCATGTAAGGAATTAGCTCTTTTTACATTATGAAGCCATTAAGTTTTTGTTATCAAGAAGGTACTTGGTCACATCTGTGTTTTGGAAAGGAAATCAGTGGTCATTTGGGGGAAAAAGGGGGTATATTATAGAAGGAGCGATGCAAACAAGGAAGCCAATTCAGAAGCCATTGCTGTAGGTCAGACTTCAGGACACTATTTACTTACATACAGGCAATTCTTACCTCACAGCCATTTAGAGATTCTCTAAAGCTACTCTTTAATGTCCACATCCCATCCAGTTCTGCATCTTTCTAATCAGATGCACATCCCAGGTTTATTCCAGATTGTAAACTCAGTGAAGCTGTCCGGATATCTCAGTTGGACTATAGCCTATTACATGTGAAACATGGTTGTTTGGTAAAAGCATTGGATTCTCAGGAAGGATGGAAGGTTAATAACTAAGTCAATATTTATGAGTCCTGACTCATTAAATGGCATTTCTTTTAAGGGTAGCATGTATTTCTAAAGCTCAGCGTATTTTTAAAGCCAGGTAAATTGACTTTCTTAATTCAGTTTTCAAAACCAGACCACCTATAGGTTTAACATTTCCATCAAGAGTTCACAAGCCCTAACGTTGTTTGAATGAATGGAAGCCTCATTGAGTATACTGAGCTCTTTAGGGGTCTGCAAGTAGCAGGCTCTGTCTCTGTCATCAGAGAGATCACTGTCTAAAAAGTTAGGGGCCTAGATGACCCCACTAGGTCTTCAATAATGAATCAAGTTTTAGAAGTAATATTAGAGCCTTCTCCAAGTAGAGAACCTGGGTGGTGTAGTTTAGGGGTTAACAAACTACACCCATGAGCCAAATCCGGCCTACCTCCTGTTTTTGTAAATAAAGTTTTACTGGAGCACAACCATGCTCATATGTTTACATGCCATCCATGGCTGCCTTTGAGCTACAAAGGCAAAACTGAGTTGTTATCACAAAGCCAGAAATATTTGCTATAGGGGGCCTTACAGAAAAGTTTGCCATCACCCTTGCTATGTGGAAAGGAACAAAGGTGGAGGCAGAAAACATGCATTTTAAGTCCCAGATTTGCTACCTATGACCTGAGTGATGTTAGAAGAGCCACTTAAACATCCGTCTAACCGTGTTTCCTTCTCTCTATAATAAAGATATACCCTCTGCCTTCCTCAGAGTACTGTGATAAGCACTTGAGCCAATGTGTTTCATAAAAATGCTTGTGCTGTACAGAGCTCCTCAATTCCCAGCCTAACGTTGGAGTTTTTCTTTCCTTCCTCAGAATACTCTGGAGCAGTGCACTGTGTGTTCCAAGCCCATCATGGAGAGGATTCTCCGAGCCACTGGGAAAGCCTATCATCCGCACTGCTTCACCTGTGTGATGTGCCACCGCAGCCTGGACGGGGTCCCCTTCACCGTGGATGCTGGCGGGCTCATTCACTGCATTGAGGACTTCCACAAGTAGGCAGCCTCCTCTCCCTCCTCCAGCCTGCCAGTCCTCTTGGACTCTTTTCTTACTGCCTAGCATCTGGGATGCACATTCTTCTCTCTCAGAGCTATAGAATCTCAGGATTTAATGGAACCTTAAAAAGAGCTTATTTATCCTCTCATACAATGCAAAAATTAATATCAGGTAACCCATGTGGCCATCCATCCCGGCCTCTGCTTCATGGTTTCCCTAGGACTTGCCTTTTACATCTCTGGGTGGCTCTAGGTATGAAAAAGTTGACTTAGCCACAGAGTACGTGTATGAGAAAGAGGCAGGATCCTGGCCTGAGTATGAACAAGATGTGTGACATTTGGCAAATTGCTCAACTTCTCTGAGCTTAATTTGGTCATTAGACCAAACCCTGTCCTAAAGTTCTCTCAGCTGTAACAACCCTGGGTTCTCTCTAGAGCTGACCTCTACACTGCTGCCACTCTACAGATAGTAGCTTGTGGTGGACAGACACAGAGGACAATTCATGCCTGTCACTAATGCAAGCCTCTCACATAGTCAGAAGCAGCTTCATGCCATTGTTGATGCATTCATTCCCTTCCCTGACCTCTTCCCCATGCAGACCCTCTCTTCCTTGGGATATTTGCTAATGAAATTAGTCAACACAGTATTGTGCAGTCCTGAGAATTAGAGAAGAGTACCTCAAGATCAAGGGCACTTACTTGTGGACCTGGAAAAACATGTCTGTCCCCACTTCCTCATTTCTCTCAGTAGGTCCCTCTTTCCTTCATTATTGCTGAGGTTTTTGTGAAAATTATAGTTTGGCATTTTGCATATTTTTATTTGGCCACTGTGTTAGTTAGTTAACTGGTTGATCACATTTGTTGTATATTTTTAAGGAGTGTATGAAAGCCATCAGTGAGATTTATAAACAGTATACACGAAGGTGTTCTGGCATGTGTTTGCTGGGCAGTGGCTTTGAGGGCAGTTTGTAAGGCCATCAAAGAGATGAAGTGTGTGTTACTCACCACTTTGGGTATTCCTTCTATGGCCTCCAAATGTGCAGTCTTGTGGATGAATTTTTACCACTTTGTTGATTGTCAACAACCAGGAAGTACTTTACACAAGCAGTTTGGGGACCTGGGAGTCATATTTTTAAAATGAATTTCCTGACCACTTTCCAAGTAGCAAAGAAAGTGAAAACCTCACCAGAAGATGTGAGGCTGAATGAATTAAAAAAAAAAAAACCCAGAGGCAGAAATTCTCAACCTGAATTAGACAAGGAAGGGCTCACTTTTAAAGGGCAGTCACAGCATAAATTGTACTTCTCGTTATTGGTATTTTTAGCTTGTAATTACACATGGAAAAAAAAAAAAAAACAACCCTGAATGTATTTAATGGAAGTGAAAAGATACCAACGGGGAGTATGTTTCTGTCACTGTTTTTCTCCTGTCTTAGACTTACCCTAATCTAAGAAAGACTGATAGATATAATCAGAGCCCACATGTTTCTGTTGCTAGAAAAGACTGATATATTACACCCCTCAATTAAAACAGGAAATCAATTTTGACAAATGTAAGTTTATATCTATGCCACTTATCTTTCATTTCTAGTAGTGGGGAGCATAATTAGAGACTTGCAATTGGTGACATAAATGTATGTCTGAAAGCTCCAAGAAGGCAGACTTGAGTAACTAAAAGGGAAAAAGAAAATCTCAAACCCCCAGCTACCCCCCAACTAGTTCAATGCATGTTAAAACATAATTTTTTTTCTAGATAATGTTGTCTTTGTGATTGACAGTCATGTAGAGGGAGAAGATTTTTGATCTTTTCGCATTTCCCAAAGGAAAATAAGAGAATATTTTACCGAACTTTTATTTCTGAACCTTGAAAGTACCAGATCAGAGTCCAGCACAGGGTGGACATTGCAAGGCCAAGGAGAGGGTAGATAAAGGGATACAGCCTCGTTCTTCAGTTTTGGGGGGTCTTGTTTTCCATCCTTCTGAATGGGGTTTCCTTTGTGGTCTTTTAGGAAATGTACTTCAATTCAATTCAATTCAATTTAATTCACATTTTACAAAGAGCCCTCTGTGTGCCAGTTACTGTGCAAAGTGCTGAAGGAGAGACACAAGGAGAGAAACTGCACAGATATATAGAGAGAAGTCTCTGTCAGCAAGGAACTTGCCAGGAGGAAGGCAGAGAACACAGGCAGACACACCTGCGATGGAAGGCAGAAAGGGCCCAGCGCGTGAGGTCGGCACAGGAGAGGGCTTGTGCTGTCAGCAGGGAGAGGTCACTCGGCTCTGGGACCAGGGTATAGACTTTGTGGAAGTTTTATGTGGGAAACAAGGAGATGCCTGGCCGAAGGAACAATTCAGGCAGAAAACCAGAGCACAAAGTTAGGACAGGGTTGTCTACATACAGGGAAGGTTTGCTTTACTGTAACTAGAGCAGCCTGGGAGGGGAAGTGACCATGAGATACTGGAGACACATGAGAAGGGATTTAGCTCACCTGTTTAGACTGCCTTTTAAGCCAGTGCTTCCCGAACTTTAATGTGTTTACAATTCACAGAGGGATCTTGCTAAACTTCATATTCTAATTCAGTAGATCTGGGGTGGGGCCTAAGATTCTGCATTTCTGACATGCTCCTGGACTGCCCTTTGAGTAACAAGCTTCTGAAATAGTATTTTTGAGGTCGTGTTAGTGGACCATTCCCTACATAACCACCTTTGGTCAAAGTTGGTTCACGTCCTCCAGCCTATTGGGCACGAACTCTTTCACAGACGCCATTTGAGATGACTGCTGCAAACTTAGTTCCCTGGCAGACTGGCTGTCCCCTGCTTCCCCCACACACTCTTGGCTATCTCCCACCCACCATCCCCCCCACACACACACTTTTCCACACCCCCCCCACTCTTTCCCATTTCACTAAATGGCCATCTTTAAAGGCCAAACTCAATTACCATTTCTTCTAGGACTTCTCTGATCTAAACCCCTTCCTATCCCCATGTTTGAATTTACATCTCCTTCTCTGTGTTTTATAGAGTTTTGAAAATCTGCTATAGGTAGCACTGACTAATAATGAAATGTATGTGTGTGTGTAATTTTACAGTAACTATCTTAAAACATTTTTGCAAGAAGATGGGATATATTTCTGCATTTATTCTATTAATTTATATATATATTTCTATTAATTTATATAAATTTATGTATATAAACTTAATAAATCTCTCTATATAAATTAATAAAATAAATGCAAAAATATATAAAACTCCCTCTCGGGCCTGTGCTGGGATCCTTGTTGTTCTTATATTCTCAGCGCCACTGCAGTGACTAAGTCCAAAAAAGCAGGCATAATTATTTATCTGACCCCTCCAGTATGTTGAGGCTTTAAGTCCACTATTTGTGCTTTCTTTTTTTTTTTTTTCCTTTTTGTCCTTTTTCGTGTCCGGCAACGGATCGCAACCCTCAGTGTCGCGCCCGCACCGGACCGGGACTGGCAACGGGATCACAACCCTCGGTGTTGCTCCCACACCATGCTCAGCCAGTGAGCGGGAACCGGTCTGCATGTGGGATCCGAACCCTCGGGCGGGAGCGCAACCACGCTCAGCCAGTGAGCGGGAACCGGTCTGCATGTGGGATCCGAACCCTCGGCGGGAGCGCCACCGCACTCTCAAGCGGCGCACTGTAGCAGTGCGCCACTGGGCCGGCCCTATTTGTGCTTTCTTATCAAGGGTATTAGTCCCATCCATTTATTTGTTTAATCAACATCTATTTGTTGATTGCCAGAAATGTGCCTGGATACAAGATAACTAATATCATCCGTCCCTGAGCCTCAGTTCCCTTGGCTGTAAAGTAGAAATGATAAAAGTACTTTCTTGTAATGTTGCTGTCATTAGAAAATAACGTCCAGTGTGTAAATTGTTTAATAGGGCTTGGCACATAATAAGCACTCAATAAATGGTAGTTTTAATCATCAAAAATGTTTTTATCAAATGTATTTTTCTTATTATTATTGTCCACTCAGTGAGTTAAGCTTTGAAATAGACCACCTGAGATTTTGAATGCTCCTTGAATTTCCAGCCAAGGAATACTGTGGGGACTGTGGGAACACCCCCTGTCCCTTCACTTTGCCTTTTCCCGTCATGGAAATGAAACCAACTGGTAGGAAAGAATCGTTACTCAGTAAGAATGCGGTTTATGTCTTTCCAAAGAAGGAAGGGTTTTGAGGTTGGACATAAAAGCCCAGGTAACATCTTTTTTATAGAGAAATATGTCAGATTCTTCTCTTCATTAGATACAGCTCGAATTTCTTCTTTCTGCACCAGTCATGGTGGTTGTTTCTGGAGACTCAGAGATAGAGCAAAGTTCTGTCCTTTGGGAGCCCACAGTTTAGTGGTCCCCAGAGATATGCAAATAATCACTACCTAAATAGGTAAATTTCATGCAGAATTTTATTCTAGAGGAATAAGTAATTCTACATTGGGAAATTGGGGAAGGCTTACGGATAATGGTAAGCAAAGCATACTTTTGCTTTCACAGAATTTACAGTCCCAATGGGTTTGGGGAAAGGAAATTTTGCAGTTGATCCTAGAAACCTGCTTATTTCACTATTGATGACCCGGATTCAAAAACAATCAGGTAGTCCAAAGCAGTTTTTTGCCACTGAATATGAACCTCTTGCATAAAATACCGATTATAACAACGCTGATTACTGCCGCAGTTGTGCCATGATCCTTTTAATTTTTCTTTCATAGCAATCAATTGATCTGCTGCTTAATTCATATTTATTTAGATTGCAACCATACAGCTTCTTTTTGGGTGCTGCTGGGAAAATTAATATGTACATATCAAGTATAATGTATGTAAAAATTCTTTGACAAGCATAAAGTGCTCTGCAAAGTATTAGATTACTATCATTATTTCTTTTTAAGTCTCACTACAAATAGATAAATTTTAATGTCATTAATCTTAAAACCATTATCATGAAAAAACTGAGTTGCACAGTCTGTTATTCTTTTCTTTAATCTCTTCAGTTCTTATGCAGGTCCATTTGAAATCATATCTTATTTCGCACCTTCACAAATACCACCCCTAATTTCCAGAAGATGCAGGTGGATACGTGGCCTATATTTGCAACTTATTAATCTTTTATGAGAAGAAAAAAATGTTAGGGACCATTGGTCATATTAAGAAATACTAGGAAATTAGGAAATATTAAAATTCTTCTCCAACAGCCTCAAAAACATATGCATATGTGTATGTATATGTGTGTATATATGTGCTCATACACATACACTTTAAAAGCGCTAAAAAAATTTTTAAAGAATAGAGAACTTGACAGCTCTTTAACTTGTTCCTGTCAAACAAAAGTTTAACACAATTGAAATATAGGAGATGCAGACTGGGCCATTATAGGCTTGGTGTAATGTGTATTTAAACTCACTAACCTCTGCCCTTTTGAAAAACTATGTATTTGAGGCTTCTTGTGTCAGCTCCTAGAATTCAAGACATATTTCCAAGAAAGAGGCTAGAAAAAGTAGGAATGAGGCAAGGATAGCAACCTCAGAATATTTGTTTAGGGCCCGAGGAATGCATACAAAAGTCTAGAAGCAAAAGTCAGAAGTAAGTAGGAGCTGGACAGGACCTTTATTCTCTCTCTAGTTAGCCTAACCTAAGCCCAGGCTTCATATTTGGAATCTAGCAAAGGTGAATTGCATACCATATTCTGTGTGGTGAAGAGCTCCTGGATGCTCTTCATACAAAAGCAGTTCACACTCTCACTCCCGCACCTCACCAAATATTACAGTATTTACCATCTAGAAGGACCTCAAGAGCTGCAGAGTCTAACTCCCTCATTTTAGAGATGAGGAAGCAGACCCGGAGAAGAAAAGTGACTTGTTCAAAGTCTCACAGGAAATGCAGGCCAGATGTCCTTACTCTTGGTTTACACCTTTTCTTTCACCTCTTTGTCAGTGTCAGTGCTCAGTATCTAACCAGAACTATCTCTCTCTTTTCAGGAAATTTGCCCCCCGATGTTCTGTGTGCAAGGAGCCTATCATGCCGGCCCCAGGCCCCGACTCCCTCCTTTGAAGCAGTTTTCTTGTTTTCTACCTGTTGTTCTGAGTGCAGCACTTTTCAGCCTCTTCTATCTGCGAGGGATGATGTGGACTTCCTATTACCACATCCTCTCATGAGATTGGTTTGTCTAGTCCACCTGGGAGACCTCCCACGACACAGGCTGACAGGTCCGTGAGGGCTGCCCTGGCTCTGTGGACTGCGTTTATTCCATCCATTGCCTAGCTGCAACTGACCATCTGTTTTATGCAGTGTGCTTTATTTTGCCCTAGACTCAAGTTACATGACTCTCTTGGCCTTAACATCAAAAAGAGAATAAAAAATGACCAGCTTTTATACAACATTTTATAACTGGGGAAGTAAAGAGAAAGACAATGTCCATCATCTTTAAATGACCTGAATCAAGACTGTATGATAGCTAATAGACACTTTAGAAACCTTTTACAGAAGGAGAAACTGAGGCTCAAAAAACAAAAAGCTTCTCAATATTCCTCATGTACTTGATATACATATAAATAGGCTTTGACTTTTAAATGGTCTTGGCTTTTGTGCTAAAAGTTGCACCACATGTGCCTTTCCTCCTCCTGGATGAAATGGTAGGTGTATGAATTAGGTTTGCTCTAAAATGCTAGAATTTTTTTAGAAACTAAACTAAAAACTGTGATTTAGAAGAGAGCAGATCGTTGCAATGAAAGGATTTGGTTTAGTTCCATTTGCTCAGTTTCCTGAATGCCTCTAGAAGCTGCAATATAGCTGCTTGGTTTTTTTTGGGGGTTTTTTTTTTTTTTTTTTTGGTAAAGCTAAACTTCCTGTGGAGCATGACGGTTGTTGCTGTTGTGTTCCAGGTGACATCCTGTTTGAACTTAAATTTAATTATCTCTCAAATGCAGACATGAGCTCCATTGACCTCCTTGCCACCATGTAGACAGCAGAAGCGAGGTTTGCAGCAGTTGTGTCCTTTTAGAATTTCTACTGAAGTTAGCAAGGGCAAATAATGCTATATAAAGTACTATATATTTACTTTATTAGATATTTATTTTCCAGGGAAACTTACATTTTTATCCAAAGACAAGGGCCAGCATTTAACTATTACTTAAAACCTTCCAAAATGGACCCACAGAGGTCCTGTCAGCAGTAGTATTATCTTTAATCTATAATCTTTAATCACACAGTTAGAGAGCTCTTTGCATTTTTTCAAAGTACATTCACATCTATTATCGTCTTTGATCCTCCCAACAGCTTCATAAGGCAGAAAATGCAGGAGTTATTTTCAGAGTGGACTTGCATGCAATGCATGGGCAGTGGCAGAATGAAGGGTTGTGCCAGGGGCCTGTCTCCCAGTCTAGCACTCATTCCTCTATACCTTCCCATCTTCTTTAGGAAGTGCAGTGAACCACTGCTCACTAGCAAATCATTGCAAACAGACTGGCATTTTATTTTCTTATGACAATTGGGGTAAATACCCAGAAGCCAGTGATGGCCATTCTGCTTAGCAGGAATCACTACCTTTTTTTTGCCCGAAAATGGCCAAAAAATTCTGTTCCTGCACCGGTTTAGAGACCCTTAAACTCATAATAAGGGTAAAGATGAGTTAGTAGTTAGGGATCCATTTTTATTTTACTTTCTCTTGTTGTTTTTGTTGTCTGGGCCGGGGGGAGCAAACTATCACAGGGAAGCTTAGACCTGTGGGCTGTTCTCCTCCTGTATCTCTATCTCAATACTCCATTTGCATTTATCTCCTCAATCTCTTATTCAGTTTAACTCAAGATATGCGCTGTTATACAAGTACACCAGGGGAAAGGATGGAGGGGGCCCTCATTACTCCATTTGCATTTATCTCCTCAATCTCTTATTCAGTTTAACTCAAGATATGCGCTGTTATACAAGTACACCAGGGGAAAGGATGGAGGGGGCTGGTGGTAAGTGAAGTAGGAAAGGTGGTAATGGTCTCAATACTCCATTTGCATTTATCTCCTCAATCTCTTATTCAGTTTAACTCAAGATATGCGCTGTTATACGAGTACACCAGGGGAAAGGATGGAGGGGGCTGGTGGTAAGTGAAGTAGGAAAGGTGGTAATGGGCACATTATGGAGGCCTTGAATGGAAGGCTGAGGAATTTGGTCTTCACGTATGTACTTTACATGTTCACTCACATCATTTCCATCTGTCTTTATTTTTCTAGGACTGTGGTGGTCTCCTGTCTGAAGGAGATAACCAAGGCTGCTACCCCTTGGATGGACACATCCTCTGCAAGACCTGCAACTCTGCCCGCATCAGGGTGTTGACCGCCAAGGCGAGCACTGATCTTTAGATTCAGTCGCCCATTAGTTGGTTAGCAGATGGCGCTGAGAAGAGCAAAACGCAGGAAAAGAATAAGAAAAGCAATAGAAAAATAGAGGAAAGGCAAGCGAGCTATGGGATGGTCTCTGTTCTTCATATGCTATTAACTTTTCTTTAGAAACACATAGATTATGAGATTTTTTTTTTCTAAGTTCTTACCAAATACACATTTCACATCTAATCATGTAGGCCTTTGATGGGCCTTTGTTCCCAAGGACTTCCACATTTTTGCACGGATTATGCTCCATCCCATTCACTTCTGCATTCCTGTAACTTTTAATCCCTATGTTTGTCTCACTTTTCATCTGGTTGACTGGCTTTTTTTAGTGTGGTATTTGCTGTCGCACAGTTTTTCCTGGGTGAGTCGGCCAACTCACAGGTGCTTTTAGGCTTCAAGTCTCCATCCTAGCACTTCCACGTTGCCTGTGATTATAAAGGTTAGCCATGCTTTTGCTGTGTATTGAAAAGTATATTTTTCTGTTGCTTTACACCACTCACGTCCGTTGGGGGGAAAAAATGCACTCTTTCTATGTTAGACTACAAAGAATTTAAGTTGTAAATTACATAAGTTAAATCAAGCCCAAATTTGATTTGAAACCATCCAAATTCAACATCTGTAGTGACCAGTAATCAGGTCTCATTTGAAAACAATTATTGGCCCATAGCTAATGAGTGGTGAAAGAGAACCACACTTCAATCTTTTTCTAAAGAAATTACAGGTGGGATATGTTGGGATAAGCATTTTGAGGATATGTTTGAAAATTATTATCCCAAAATATTATTATCCCACAATATTACCTTGAGATTTTCCTTTTCCACACTACCTGGAAATAATAATACAAAGTTGGTTTTGTCTAGGATATAACATTTCTAATACTGTCTCAATTTTCATTTTAAAAATATTGTTATATTTTTTCTAATATCCAAACACAGCTACCAAAATGACATTTTCTCTAGGGGAAGATACTATAAAGAATGATTCAAATTCTTTAATTTTTTTTTTCCTCAGGCCCAAGTCTTATTTGCCCGACAATTGCACATTAGGGCACACAAAATAAAACTGGGCAGTTTTGTTTACTTTACTTTTAAAAGAGAGGAAAACTTAAAAAGATTGTAAAACCACGGTTTCATTATTCTCATAATGCTTCTGCAACTCAAATTACATATTGCAGGAGACATTTTCATATCATCGAAGTGACATTTACACCACACTTTCAAAGACAATCACTGAAAAAAATCTTGTCTTTCTGAGCTAAAAATATGCAGAGTCTCTGCCTAGAATCTTTATTCAAACTCTTATTAGCCAGTGAAACACTTCCTTGCCAACTGCAGAGCCATACTTATTAAGTTCTAACATGTTTCACTTAAGGAGAGACACCTAGCTTAGTAATGGCAAGTTGCCATTTTGCAAACTAGGAATTTTGGACTGAGATTTCTTAAGGCTTTCTTCAAATTTTCCACAAGTATATACTTTTAAATTATGGAATATTTTAAATATACAGAAAGGTATAAATAATAATATAATGAATCCCTGTATACCTAACACAGTTTAAGAAATGAAATATAACAAATATAACTATTTCATGTCCCTGTGTACCCTTCCCTTGTTCCACAATATCTTTTTCATTATTAAGAAGTGATAGTCAGTTTTCTAGTCTGACTTTTTTTAATTTTTAATTTTAACATCCAGAACATAAATTAAAAATTATTTGTACATGTTTTGAATTGCAACCCATGCCTCAGGAATTCCAATTAAATTTAGTATACTTGAAGAGGAATAATCAAAAAAGTGATTCATTTTTTAAAAAATAGGAATTCTTAAGACTATGGTCACTATAACTCATCTATATAAATTTGTGGCTCATTTGTTTTTGTCACTAAACACTTTTGTGTTAGAACCACCAAAGTTATAGCTTTTAAGAGCTTCCTTTAACTACTGTCCTTTTCTTACCTTGCTTCTCTTATCCTTGATCTTATATTTTTCATAATGTGAAATATGAGATTATTAGGAGCAACATGTGAGTTTTAGGATATACAATAGTGACTGTGTCTCTGAATTCCTGTCTTTCGAATTAAAGGCCATATGCATTGATGACCTCAAAGAGCACTGACAATTAGATAGTTGGCGTGATGATAAAATCTGCTTGAATTGATTCAGTAACTTGTTTTCTATGAAATACTTGGGGAAAATTGTCTTTAGGCCAAAAGCAAAGAGTCCAATTTGTTGAGGGATAGATTTTTTCTCTTGAGGTGCAGTGATATTATTATAAATTTTGCCAAAAGAGGAAGAATGTATGAATTATTTATACTATAAAAATGCAGTAACATTCTACATGTTTGTTACATTTAAGGCCTTATGTAACTGAACGTTTACATGCCAAAAGAAAAAGTTATAAGAAAATGCTGTTACTGACCCATCACTGTGGCATTGCCAACAGAATACTGCTTGCTTACAATTTTTATAGTGCATTCTTATCACATAACCTCAGAATATCTTTACCAAAGATTTTTAAAGTAAATTCTTTTTAATATAGACTTATACTTTTATAATAATGAATGTGCACACAAACATATGCAGAAATAATTAGATTTAGATTTTTTTTTCCTTTCACAAGGTATAACTAGGAAAGGATCCTACCATATTTTACTCCTGAATTTCTTAAATATATGACTTATATTGCTTTCTTGTCTTTGCTATTAATTATTTCCTTTAAACAATGATTCCAAGTCACTCTCTACTGTTTTAATTACATGAAATTTTGCCTATAACAGAGATATAAAGATCATATTACCTGAGTGATTATAATCATATTGTCTTTTTTTTTTTTTTTGTCTTTTTGTCTTTTTTCCGTGTCCGGCAACGGATCGCAACCCTCAGCGTCGCTCCCGACCGGGGACCGGCAACGGGATCGCAACCCTCAGCGTCGCTCCCGTCCCTCGCTCAGCCAGTGAGCGGGAACCGGTCTGTATGTGGGATCCGAACCCTCGGGCGGGAGCGCCGCCGTGCTTCCCAAGCGGCGCACTATCCAGTGCGCCACCGGGCCGGCTCCATATTGTCTTTTGATGTATTGTTTTGATTGTAACCATTTAAATACGTAAGCAGAGTCTATAACAGAAAGTTTGTAAAAATATACTGGTTTTTAAAAATTGTCAAGAACACAAATATTTGCTAATTTTATGTAGCTGGAGAGACATGGAAAAAGGAAAAAACCCACTCTGTTATGAGCTCTGCAGACCATTTCAAAATAAAATGCATTAATTGCTTGGATCCCCATCTCAATGTGGCGTCTCGTTTGCAAACCAAATTGCCTTTAAAACTGAAAGGTGAGTCATGTGTCCAAGTGTAAGGCATCAGGTTGTGAGATGCTGACACCTCTGTAGCTCAAAGATGTGGGTTCTTTTCTTGTCATTCACACATTGTTGTTTCTGTAGGAGCAACTTCTCTGATCAAAATTGCTTCATTGGGTATATGTTGATTAATGAGGTGGGCACTAAAATTGTTTTCTATGAAAGATTCTGCAAAGATTTGGCGGGGGCAGGATGGCGGGGAGCAGTTGGCTGGTAAGGGTGTTGTAATGACACTGAGCTATCCAAATGAGCTAACTGGCCAGCCAATGCAAAGATAAGTATGGTGATGTTTAAAGGATATAAAATTCTAACTATGTTTAAACACGTATTCTATATTCAGGTCCAGAGGAAGAAAGAGAGCGCTTTTTCAATGGGGCTACAGTAGAAAGTTAATGGAATGTATAAGCAGGACTCTGAAAATACAACTTCCAACTGCTTTCCTAGTTAGTAAAAATCCTATTAATGTGAACCAGCCAGGAATAACAGTGTTATTTCTATTTGATACGGTTTGGGCTTCTCTTGTCAAATCTGTGTCGCTGCCCCCTGATCCCTCCATTATCAAGTTTTGAAGGGTGTTGGAAAAATTATGGCAGCTGCTAGGAAGATCAGGGAAACACTGATGTAACCTCACAGCCTCTCATCATTCCTCTTGGCTTGGAAAGGCTTTTTGTTCATATACATTTCTAGAATATTGCTATTCTACCTTAGTATTTCACATTTGTAGTTTAAACAAGCGATTGTCCATCTGTTGCCTAGAGCTACAGTACATGTGTGTTATGAATGAAATATGACAGCATGTTCCATACCCCTGCTTTAGCCATCTGTAGGAAACCAGCAGACTGCAAAAGATATACCTCTGCAAAATGTGCATCAAGTCCATTTCCTGGGATCGCTCTTTTGGTGCACTTTCGTGGGAGACAATCAGAGAGCCACATACGTTTGTGCTTTATTTTTAAAGAATGTATTTACACTACTATGAATAGTCCACTGAAGAGTCAATAACAAAAATAACAATCCCCAAATCTCAAAGATATATTCACCCAAAAGTCAAAAACACAAAATCCAGAGGAGTCTGAACTTTTCATCCTAATGTATTGTGACAGTATTTCTCTTCTCCTTGTCTTCTGGAAGTACCCCATGGGTCCCTAAATTAGGAAAACATTCTTATGCCAGAAGGTGATATATGAGGGTACTTCAAAAAGTTCATGGAAAAATTGAATTAAAAGGTAATACAAATTACTCCATGAACTTTTTGAACATCCTCATGTTGGATGTTGTTAGTGTTTATTATTTGATCTTATTCTGGTGTTAGTCAGATAATGAAGACAGACTTTAATGAAGACTCAAGACTCAACTTGAGTCTTTAACACCCATTTAGCTCCTCATGTTGGATGTTGTTAGTGTTTATTATTTGATCTTATTCTGGTGTTAGTCAGGTAATGAAGACAGACTTTAATGAAGACTCAAGACTCAACTTGAGTCTTTAACACCCATTTAGCATATCCATTTTTTTAATTGACTTAGTTTTGTTTGTTTAATTTAGCAGTAGACAGAGCAAGTTGGAAATCCCGGTTGTGAGCAAGTCATTAATATGGTACAACCATGAACATTTCAGATCAAGTTATTCATATCTACTTGACAGATAACTAGAACGAAACTTTTCCTATGTAGATATTGCTTGGTTAGCATAGCTCTATTATAAACCTTTAACCAATGATTTGACTAAAGCTATTGTTACTCAATGAGAATTCTTCCTCCCTCTCCCTTCCTTCCTTCCTCTCTTTCTTACCTTCTTTCCTACTTTCCTCGCTCCCTTCAGTCCTTATGTCCAATCTACCTATTAATGCTACTGTGCCTAGACTTTTCATAAATTAAATTAATGCACTATGATCCTATGGAATTATCATATTAAGGGGAGAAAGCGAACAGAAAATATATGTGTTGTCCA